AAGTTAAAAGCATTGAAAATAGCTTAAGAACAGGAGGAAATTGTGAAAACCTTCTTAGCAAATACAACTGATTCTGATTTAGACCAGGACCTAGTGTTAAATCACAGATCATCCTGTAGATGGAGCTATAGATCCTCTTCAGTAGTGAGGCTGGCCTGCAAACAGACACAGTACCATATGGTACAGTCAGGGCTGAGCGTCACTAGAGGGCAGCAGCTCTCTGCTCGTCACCATGTCGACTCTGTCCAACACTCACAGGTGAGCCTGGATCTGACAGAAAACGCTGGTTCTGCTGCTTTTGATCCTCTCGACCTCAGCTCCCTCATCTCACAATCAAGGCCAACAATCCTAAACCCTCACCTTGGCTGACAGAGTGAGAGGTTTGTATGATGGAAACCATATGCTAATAGATGGAAACCACAGGTTCAGATATCATTCGTATACAAACTTGTCTGGATTAACTGGTGAGAGCGTTTTGGTAATGAGGCAGTTTTCTGGAGAAAACCCCTGGCCCAGTTTGGGTGGAGCTGGGTGAAGGGTGAGAGGTTAAATAGGGAGGGAGATGGATGGGGAGGGGGAGGCAGCTGACACCCAAGCTTTTACCGAGTCATACTGTTATGGAACACTGGCAAATTGTTTCACATGGAAACAAGCACACACATACACAAAGACAGCCACACCCACATCAACACACTGTCAGTGTTCTGAAATAAACCGAAAACATATCCAGTCTCCATTTGATCTCCCCTGGAGACATGATTCTGTGGGGGAGCCTCCCCGTCAGCCAATCAGATTACACAACTGATATTCTGGGGTATAGGGGAGTCCCGTCAGCTCGCCTAACATGTTGTTGTGGTTTCCGTGGTGACACTGAGGGAGGCCCACAGATTTACGCAGCAATGCCTCCCACTGAGCTGAAAACATTTCAGAGGAAAAAGTTACTAAGAAGTTAGGCTTGCATATGTGTGTGGGTGTGTGTGTGTGTGCAGACAAGCATCTGTGCAAGTGTACACACTCCAACAGAGCCCCCTGCACTGGGACCAGCAGTTGGATGCTATCCCAGCCTGCAGGAGTGATGATTCATGATGTCACTTGCTTTAAAGTGTGTGTGTGTGTGTGT